AGACAATGTTGAACAGTACTTCGCTTCCCACAAAAGGCGTCAAACTGATGTGTGCTGGAAAATTCGCGGCGATAGAGTAACAGATTATTGTCTTAGCGTTATACGAGAATTCAGCACACACACACGTATAAAAGAGAATCAAACAGTGACGACTCTTGAAATTTTTACATGGAAAACCCGTAAAGGGAAAAATCACGGGATCTAGCTCAATTGCGGAAATTTACTATTGATTGATGATTACAAAAATCTCATGTCCCACAGACGGGAGAGAGTAACTATATTTTTCAGACTACAACTTCAATTGATAGTGTCTGGTTGGTGGTTATCAATGGTGGTTAGCAGTGGTCGACAATGATTGGCGGAGGTCAACAGAGGTCGGCGGTGTTCGACGACGTTAGACGGTGATTGATGGAGGTTGGCAGTTGTCGTCGGCGATCAGCGGTTTTTGTCAGCGGAGGTTGGCGGAGTTGATGACAATTGACGTAGTCGATTACAGTCAGTGGTTGTCGACGGAGGTAAGCGGTGGTCGATGGCTGTCGGTGGTGATCGATGGACGGCTGCCGACGGTGGTCGACAGTGATTTGCGGTGGTCAACGACGGTTTGCGGTGATGCTGAGCTGCAGTTTCTCCTCAAAGCTTCACGCTTTCTCTAGCCTTCAACTTCCTCTCATGAGAGGGATAAAACTCTATTTATAGTGTTCTGGGAGTAATTAATGCAGGAATATGCATCATTTTGATCGTATGGTCCGGAGAGCTTCCCTTGATCATATGGTGTTTAATGGATATTTGAGTGCCTTAATGATGTCAGAATTAAATGATCTTGGGCTCATTTAATACTTGTCGAGACACTCGATTTGAGTATAAAATTGTCATATTCGATAACTGTTTGACCTTCCAAATGAGCGGAAAATCATGCAAGAATGGTTTAATGACTTGATCTATACTTGATTTGACTCAGATTGGAATGACTTTGATATCATTAGGTCTGTTTTATCGAGCCGATCAGTTTGACTATAAGTTTGTTGAAATCAGAGGTCAAGATGAGTTTTTATCAATGTTTGAACATCCCTTACTGAAATATTATCTCGAGACTCGTGTCATGATCAAAGATTCGTGTCGGATAATGAAAATTTGTAGATGGCGTATCAACCATTGACTAAACAAACACGTTATGGTTTAAGAATCAACTGTCTTTCAGACTAAGTACTCCAACATGAAATACTTCATGAAACGCTCTACTCCATATGATGTGAATCCAAATAGTACTGACATGTATCAACATATAAATAATATATTGTGGCCTGACATAAAAGTGATGTGGCGGAATTTGTATCCAAGTACTTAACTAGTCAGACGGTCAAGGTAGAATATCAAGGAGTTGGTGATCTGCTGCAACCCCTTTCCATCCCAAAAAAGAAAGTAGGAGAAGATTGCTTTGTAGTCAGTATAACTAGATCAAAGTAAGACCATGATGCGTTTTGGGTTATGGTTAACAGACTTACTAAGTTCGTCTGTTTCTTGCCAAAGAAGAATAACCAATCAATAGAGAGACTAGCTAAGATTTACATATACAATATCATTCGATTACACAAAATCTTAATCATCATTATATTTGATCAAGATAGGAGATTTACTTCCAAACTATGGAAGCAGGTGCGAAAAACTTCGAGCATGAGAGTGGACTTCATTACTATTTTTCATTCTTAGACAAATGATCAGTACTATTTGCTATTTTAGAAGATCTGCTAAGACCATGCATTTTGAATTTCAAATTTAGCTTGAAGGACTACATATCATTGTTGGTGTTCCCTACAATAATAGCTTTCAATCTGGCATTAACATGACATTGAATAAAGTTTTTTATGAAAGTATAGGCCCCCCTTCTCTTAGTTCGAGGTTAGTGAGGGATAGTTGTTCAAAACTCAACTAGTTGATCAAGCTGTTGCAAAAGTTTTTCAAATTCAAGATTGACTAAATGTAACTCAAGTGTGTTAGAAATGATATTTTGACCCTATGAAAATAGAAATTAAAATAAAAATTGAAAATTGCATCTTCCTCAAAACCTCACATATGTATGAAGTTATAATATTTGGTAACAGTAGAAAGTTCAAGCTTGCTTTATTGATCCATTTGAGGTAATCTAAAGAGCTAGAAGGATATCATATATATATATATATATAAAGCCCAAGGGCTAAATTCATTAAAGAGAAAAGATACATATAAGTTGTATGGGTAGACCCAAAAATAGGCACCTAACCCACACGGTACAACAAAAAAAATAAATAAATAAAAAAGGGTACATATAAAAATAAAAAAAAAACCCAAAACCACCAGGCACTAAAAAAGTGAGGGTCATCCCAATCTAGTCCTGCCTCTGACTCTATTTCTCAGAAGGGATCCAGCTAATAAATTAGTAAGATGCGTACCATTACCCAAAGCAACCAAAATATCATCCATAAGACTCCTGAGCTCAAGTAGATTTTCATTCTTCTTCTTCCTCCTGGAAGTGTAAACCTGTCATTCCTCATCCGAAGAATCAGTCTAATGAGGTGGTAGAGTTGTAGCAGAATGATTACCAACCGTAGTACCCACAATAGGTTCTGGTATATGTGAAGTATAATTTGCCTCTACACCGGATACTTCCTGAAGAAGAAAAGCTGCGATGTTCTCCTGATTATCAGTCTGAACACTACACTTTGCAGGTAATAATCCTTCAGTATTGTTTTCTAAGGGGTTTGAAGATGCCAACATCACATTGATCCCAGTAAAAGTAGCAGCAGTCATGCTGGGGGGCCACAAGGGCAACAGTCACTTCATTTTTGGTAGTATCCTCCCCAGGTGGAACTAAAATGTCCAGAGCAGTGGAGTTAAACCCTTCCTTATTCACTTGAACCTTAGATTTCAAATTAGGGTGGAGCTTGTGACATTTATCAAGGATATGCCAAACATCTTACAGTGGGTACAATATGGAGGTTTGTGTTCCATGATAATTTGTTGTCAATATCTATTGTGAGTTGTGCCCGACTAGACTTAGTAACATCATGTAAAGTAATATCCCTTTCCACAAGTATTCTGACCACAAAAGGTCTGGTTAGATTGAAAGTGGGTCGGCCAATCAATATTTTATTAGCCAACCGACCACCTGGGTCGGCCAATCAACACCAATGAATCCAGAAAAAAGAAAGAACTCCAGGAAGAACAGTTCAAGCAAGGAAAAGACTTAGTAACATCAGGTAAAGTAATATCCCTTTCCACAAGTATTCTGGCCACAAAAGATCTGGTTAGATTAAAAGTGGGTCAGCCAATCGATATTTTATTAGCCAACCGACCACCTAAGTCGGCCAATCGACACCAATGAATCCAGAAACAAGAAAGAACTCCAGGAAGAGCAGTTCAAGCAAGAAAAAGACCAGAGTACCCCTCATGACCCCCCTTTATAACAAGAGCATAAATGTAATCTCCTCCCCCCTCTCCTTTTCTCTATAAATAAATGATCCATTGGATGTAAAAAGGGTCCCCTTAGGCCCTCTCTCTACCATCATATAGAGAACTTGCTCCCATTCTCCCTCACTTATAACTTAAACTTGTGTGGAATAAAAGAGGTCGCCGAGCACTGGGACCACCAAAATTTGCCCCCTGACAGGGCAACCTTCTCTCTCTTTCTCTCCATCTCCTTCTCAACCCTCAGAATTCGGCTCTAGCCTTTGGGCACAGCCTCCCGGACATATTTGGTTCCCTTTAGGCTCTCTCTCTACCATCTCTCTCTTTCTCTCCATCTCCTTCTCCACCCCTAATAATCCTCCAATAACCCCCCTAATAATCTCCACGGTGTAATTTCAATAACCCCCGAATAATTTCTGCGATATAGCACACGTGGCCGCATATTACAGAAGTCCGCACATAGAGCTACGTCCGGAATTTGGACAGAAAATTTTTCCGTGTTACTAGGGCATACTGATTTCTGAAACCGGGATATAACAGAACTGCAACCTGAAATCCTAATTTAAAACTTCATTCTTGACCTCTAGGGAAATAGAGCATTCTCTGCAGAGTTAACAAAAAATTTCAGCCGAACTTATTCTAGGAAGTATTCGTAACAGTCATTGCATTCAGCGAAAGCCCTTCCGCAAGATAAGTTATCAATACCAATCAATTAAAGCAATGATAATTTTTAAGAAATCCTTCCGAGAAACTAACACAAAATATTTAGAATAGCGAAGCCCTACTGCTGCGAAGACGAATCCAGTTGAAAGTAAAACCCTAAGCCCTAAAGAATCAAACGAATGAATTAATTTAAGAACCTGACCTTGATTTCTATAGAACGCTGAAGCTGTGTGATTCTCCGGGACCGTTTTGAATCCGCAGACGCAACAGCGATTATGGCGACAAGGAGCAAGCGGTGAAGTGGCGTGAAGAGCTCCCAAGCCACCCATTCACACTTCCCATCGACTGGCGGCGAATTGGTCTCCGCATCGCCAACAGGGCTGCCATGAAACAAAACCCGACGTAGTTGCCGGCGAGTTGAGACGATCGGATGGGTCGGCTCCGAAAAGGTGCTCGAAAGGCGGCGCGGGTGGAGAGACGGAGGGAGAGAGTAGCAAAATAATGCAGCCGACGCAGAGGCGAAGCCATCATCGGTGGCCATTGCGAGTAGGAAGATGGGAGAGGAGCGTATCGAAGGTAAATAAATGGTTCTGACACCGCATTTCAAATTCGGGGCTTTTACATACATACCGCTCAATTCCTTCACAATTATATAGCTAACCCTAAATTTTGTAAAAATTGAAGCTTAGGTGTTAGTTGTATTAATACATAAGAATTAAGTGGCATGTTTGCAAATCTTCCTCCAAACTTTGGCCAGGAGTGTGCAAGACAAGAAGATTTCAAATGTAAATTCAGAAAAAAAAAATAAAAATAAAAATATATTTTTTTATTTATATCATTCAAATAAAAATAAAAATAAAAATAAATTTATATCATTCAAATCCCATAAATCGTCTTGCAACGCGATTTACGAATTTAGGGCAAAACTGAGGAGCATCGGGACTAATTAAGATCTAAGATCGCGTAGGATTTATGAAATTCTAATTTTTGCTGTTTGGCTCCTGCTTGAGTCCTGCTCAAATTCTGCTACCGACAGCCCCTTTTAATCGCTGCTAAACTGTTTTCCATGGATCAAATGCCCGATCAGCCATCGAAGGAAATAAGTGAGACCAGTGGCGGCGACAATGACGCCGACGATCTACTTCCAATCCGCCATCTCGAGATCTCCGACCACGGCAAGGGCTTCGTGGAGCTCCTCGGTCAGCTTAGCACCTGCCCTCCAATCTCCGACGCCGACTTCAGCTCCCGCTTCGCTGATCTCTCTGCACTCGGAGACGATCACGTCATCTCCGTGATTGAGGATCTGAAAACTGGTCGAATCGTTGCTACCGGCAGCGTTTTCGTTGAGAAAAAATTCATTCACGGTTGCGGCAAGGTAGCGCACATCGAGGACGTAGTCGTCGATGCCGCAGCCCGCGGTCGATGTCTCGGCCAGCGAGTCGTGCGATTCCTTGCGGAACATGCGAGGGTTGCAGGTTGCTATAAGGTGATTCTTGATTGCACGTCGGAACTCAGAGGATTCTATGAGAAGTGCGGTTTCGTGGAGAAGAACGTGCAAATGGCGATGTACTTCCGTGACTGATGTGGATGGATGTAAGCTTGCTGAGTTATTGATCAATCCATTATATTTTATATTGTGACCATTCTTCAATTTTGCAAATTAGGTTCTGTAAGTTGGGTTGGTTTAATTTTTTAGCTGTTTGTTAGCCCATTTTTATAACCCAATTTATTATGCAATTATGTACTTTCGAGACATGTTGATGATTTTTAATAATCAAGTTGGGATCTGTCTCATACCTTTTTTTTTTTTTCTTTTTTAGTTAATGATGAAACACATGACCAAGGTCAGATTGGTTCATGAATTTCAATCTTATTTTGTTTTAATTGGTTTATTTTTATTAGGAATTGTCCTTTTGGATCATATTGTTTTGAATTTCAGTTAGATTTTATGATTAAATTTGAATTTGGGTTATATACAACAACAACAACAAAACCTTTATCCCACTAAGTGGGGTCGGCTACATGAATCCTTTTTCTCCACCGCGTTCTATTTAGTGTTATATTTTCATTTAATTCTAATAAATTAAGATCATTTTTATACAATATGTCCAATTCTTCCTAGGTCTACTTTTACCTTTCTTAACATAAGTCAAATCTAAAACATCTACTCGTCTAATCGGATCATCATATGGTCGACGTTTATTGTGAACATACCATCTAAGACGACTCTCTCTAATTTTGTCCATCACTGGAGCTATACCAACCTTATCACAGATATATTCATGTCGTATTTTCTCTCTAAGTGTAAAGCCACTCATCCACCTAATCATTCTCATCTCAATAGCACTAAGTTTTATGCTTCTCTTTTAAAGGCCAACATTCAACCCCATTGTGCATTGCAGGTCTCACCATCATCTCATAAAATTTTCCTTTCAGCCTAAGAGGTACTTTTCTATCACACAATAGACACGAATCATTCATTCACTTCAACTAACCAACTTGAATTCTACTAATAACATCTCCATTAATATCACCATCACTTTGAACAATAGACCCGAGATATCTAAAACGTTCACACTTTTTAATAATTTGATCATCCATAGTTACCTTTCTGTCACTAGAAATTACTTTCCATTAATTACTTTCCATTTATTCAGTTTTAGTTCTACTGAAACGAAGGCCTTTAGACTCCAAGGTAAACCTCCATAATTCAAGTTTTTTTCTGAGTTTTTTCTTTTGTCTTATTCACAAAAAGGATTTCATCAGCAAAAAGTATACACGAAGATACATCTTCCTGTAAATGTCCAGTAAGACCATCCATAACGAAAGTAAAAAAGATATCGGCTTAAAGCGTTCCCTGATGTAAACTAACAAAAATAGGAAAATATTTGGTCAGTAATCCTTCTGTTCGAACACAAGTAACAACTCTTGTATACATATCTTTAATGACTTGAATATAAGTCATATCAACACCTTTCTTCTCAAGAACTCTCTAAAGGATATCTCTTGGAACCTTATCGTAAGCTTTTTCTAAATCAATAAAAATCATATGTAGATCATCCTTATTATCTCTGAACATCCAATAAATGTATAGCAATAAATGTATAGCTTCCATGGTAGACCTGCCCGTCATAAATCCAAATTGATTATGAAAAATCTTTGTAGTACGGCTTAACATATGTTCAATTACCCTTTCCCATAATTTTAAAATATGACACATCAACTTAATTCCTCTATAATTTGCACACTCTTGTGCATCCCCTTTATTCTTAAAAATGGGGACCAAAATACTCTTCCTCCACTCCTATCTTTTTAGTTTTTAAAATAATATTAAAAAGTTTAGTAAGGTAAAAGACTCTCAAATTTTCTAAATATTTCATCACTTCAATTGGGATATGATCAGGTCCTACAGACGTTTTATTTTTAAGCTGCCTCAACTTCGTTTTTACTAATGCGATCATAAAAATGAAACATTTTATTATTATTAATGATATTATGATTACTAAAGTCGATCGTATTTTCCGAAATTTCAGTAAAAAATTTATCAAAATAACTCACTCACCTATTTTGAATATCTTTATCTAAGAAAAATATTTTTTGATTTTCATCTTTAATGCACTTTACTTAAATTAAATCTTTATATTTATTTTCTCTTTGTTTGGCTAGTTTATTCAGATATTTTTTACACTTTTTAGTACTTATATATTATAAAGATCACTAAAACCACAAATGTTAGCATCAGAGACTGTTCTCTTAAACTTTCTACAGGCTGTTTCTTATTTTTCTCAGTTCTTTGAGCTTTTACATTTAAACTATTTTTTATATCATAACTTCTTATATTTTATCTTTTCTTGCATATTATTATTTCACCACAAATTATTTTTTTTTATAGATATTTTTTTTATCCTCCAAGTATAACTTTTGCAACTTGTTTAATAGCATTCGTTATTTTATCCCACATAGTATTTGCTTCTTTATGAACATCCTAAATTTTGAAATCTTGAATTTTATTCATAAAAATAATTTTATTTGTCTTATAGGTACTCCCATCTAATTCAACGACGATGATTTTTAGTATTCTTTATTTTACAACACTTTATCTTAAAATTTAAAACTAATAATCGATGTTGAGTACTTAAATCCTGTTGTTAAGTACTTAAATCCTCATTTGGAATGACCTTACAATCTTTACATTCTCAATGATATATTATTCTCATTAGAAAATAATCAATTTGTGTTTTATTAGATCTATTCTTATAAGTAATAATATGTTAAACTCTTTTCTTGAATAAAGTATTAGCAATAATAAAATCACACGTTAAAGCAAAATCCAGTATAGCTTTACGTTCTTCATCAATCACTCCAAAACCTTAGCTACAATGAATATTATGAATATTTCTAAAATCTTTTTAGCTACAATGAATATTTCTAAAATCTTTTACCACTCTACCGATATGTCCATTTAAATCTCCTCCAATAAAGATTCTTTCTTCAAGAGGTATCATTTATATTAAGTCTTCTAAGTCATTCCAGAATTTATCTTTAGAACCTATTTTTAAACTTACTTGAGGAGCAGAAGCACTTATAACATTAAAAATCTTAGTGTCAACAATAGTCTTAAGGACTATAATTCTATCTTCAATTCTATTAATTTTTGCAATATCATATTTCCAAGCACTTATCTATAATTAAACGTACACCATTTCTAGTGCGACTTTTATCTGAATGTTAAAATTTAAAACCTAAGTTGTCAATCTCTATAGTCTTTTCTCTAGCCCATTTAATTTATTGAACAAATAAGTTATTTATATTTCTATGTATCATAATATTAACTAATTCCATTAATTTACCAGTGAGAGTACTTATATTTCAAGATTCTATCATAATATTAATTTTATAGACTAACTTCTTTACTCACATCTGTCTGTATTGTGAGAAATCTTGCTTATTTGACACTACACCTAGGCGTCGGTGTAGTGGCCTTTGCACACTTTTCACTTTATTTAGACTATGCATCGCGTCTCTTTTATTCCGGTTTGGATTCGCCTCCCTGTCTGAAATTTCATTATTTTACTCAAAAAGTTTTGTACGCTATCGCTTCAGTTTATGGTAAGCCACTCAAAACGGATATTTCTACTTTTAATCTTTTCCGTCCATCAGAAGCCAAAGTACTTGTTGAAAGAGACATCACTTCATCTGCTTCTGAGGAAATTTGGTTGGACACACAACATCATGGGTATTGACGAAAGATAGTGATTGAGTCTTTTCTTTCGTATTGTTCAAACTTTCATATGTTCGGTCACTCCAGTTTTTAATGTCACCATCTACATCCATACTCAGACAAAAAGAAAAACACAGTGCTCCGCCAGAGACAGTGATTTCATCTTCTCCTGATTATCTTCAAGTTATTGACATTATTGACCATCAAAGAATACCCCCAAAGACGTTACTATTCTTGCAGACAATGTTACAACCATTCAGCCGTCTTTGGAACGTCCTATCGTGGGTGAGAGGGAGATTCTTCAGACCTCACGTGCCCTAGAACCTATCACTGTTATTACAGGTGAACTTCTACTATTTCACTACCGCCTCATCAGGTCGAGCAAGTTGTAACTGTTACTCAGGTTCATGAGGATCATGTTGTGCAACAGCCTACACCTGTCCAACCAAATTTGGAATAATTTATTGATCAAATGAGTCAATCATCGAATGAGGAATGACAAGTCTACACATCGAGGAGAAATAAGAAGAATGGAGACCTACTTGAGCTCAGGAATCTGATGGATGATATTTTGGTTACTTCGGGCAATGACACTCACCTTACTAATTTGTTAGCAGACTCAATTCCGAGAACTAGAGACAGAGGGAGGACTAAAGTGGGACGTCCCTAGCACTTTTGCGCTCTTTGGTGGCTTTTTGGTTTTTTACCTTTATGCATCTTTGCTTTATTTGAGTTTTGTGTGTGTTATATTGTGTGAGTTGAGTTTTCTTTTAGGCTCTCTTATATAATCTTTCTGTATCTTTTCCGTTTTAATATATTAGCCCTTTTGACTTTTTCTAAAAAAAAACTACCACCGTCAAACCATTGTCGCTCAATCGATGTCATTGAACCCCATCACAGTCATCAGATTATTGTTTAATGGCGTTGTCGCCACAACTGACTTTATTACGAGATCACCATCTCATAGCCGTTGTCGCTACCATACCTTTGTCACTCGGTTGATGCCGCTTGACCACAACTATTGCAATTGGACCGCTATTGCCTTGACGACATCATTGCTACCACTGCCATTATAAGGCCACCATCGTCTTCATCATGTCACTATTTTATGGCCCTCTCCGTCGTCAGACTACCTTCACTTATCAGCCACCAAAATACAGTCTTGTGGCTGACGCCATTTCCGTCGTCATCGTTAGGCTTGCTGGATCGCCATCGTCGGGCTACCGTCGTTGCAATTATCAGACCACCATAGCAGAACTATCGACGTCAGGCCACCACCACCATTTTTAGCCAGCTTCGCCAAGCTGCCCTACTATGTCAGATCATTGATGCCTAACTATTGCCGCTGTTGTGGTACATTGTCGCCATCGCA